AGAAGTAGCACCATGATATTGAAAATAAATTATAACTGGCCAACCCTTTTTATATCACTTTAGTCCTCTGAAGCCTTATTTATTAGAAAATTAGTCATGGATTAAACCAAAAGGAATTCCAGGAAAACAACTCAATCTCAAAAATACCAAAAGATGTGACTAAAAGTAGGATTATGAGCCTCATTTTACCTATTTATTCTGAGGAATAGGCTATTCTAGTGTCAAAAGAAGGAACTACGATAACAGTCATAAGCATCTTGTTCAAAAAAAAAAACTCCAAAGACAACTTTCTGCACATTTCATGTTTGGGAACAGAATCACTAAGGAAAGCAAATACCAGAACCATAAATTAGGATATGTTTTAATAAGAATCGGCAACACAAATGCAAAGTTAATATCCCTAAATGGCCTTTTCAATGCTTGATTCACCATAAAACAGTGCAGATAGAATGAGCAAAGAGATGAACCCGAAAATTTCAAGTTTCTTCTTAGCCGCGAAGGATTAAGAGAGTCAGCTACAATACTTTGAGTCACAAAATCGAACGGGAAACAGTAACCAAAAGGCAAGAACTCGAACCACGAACTCGACCCCGGCGAACGTCGAATCGGCAACTGAAGACAGCAAACTCCCAAACCTCAAGTAAACGCCATGAGCTTGAAACCGAAATCAAAAATGAAAGAAGAAAAAAAAATGAAGAAACGAAGGTTTTTTTTTTATTTTTCTGGTATTGAAACAGAATTCCGAGCAAGAAAGAAAACTGGATTTTTCTTTTTTTTATCTTTTTCTGGAATCAACCATAAGAAAAATGAAGAGAGTAAAAAAATATCAAACTCCAAAGCCAAACCGCAAATTTTTTCTCCCCCTTTTCTGTCCAAAAATCCCCTATATATATAGGGATCCTAGAAGCTTCTTCTTGCTTCTTCTCCAAGAAATTCGAAACTTATCTCTCAAAATAACTTCCAAGAACACTGAAAAATCCCGAAAATCTTCATAAAACAAAAATCGGAAAAATGGAAGGCGTGGATCGGCTTTCACTCACATCTAACCGCTCCCATTTATCCGAGATTTGTTCAAACAAACTAAAGCGCGTGAGGGAGAAGGCGGATTCGATTTGGGTGAAATCATTAGCGAATATCCTGAATTTGTTATCATTGCTACGTGGAAGAAGGAGAAGAAAGGAGGGGGGACCATGGGGTGACCAGTGGGTGAACTCACCGGGTTTGGGCGAGTTCTGGCGAGTTTGGAGGCGGGCAGCGATGGGGGTTGCGGCTGGTCTTGAGATTAGGTTTAGGATTAGGGTTTTTTTGGGAAATATTGGGTTTATATTTGGGGATGTGGGGATTAATCATGGTCGTTGGATCAAAAGGGATGAATGGCTGAGATTAAAAATTAAAAACGGGGCGGGTCGGTGGGTTTCGTGGGTCAGGAGATTGGGTTGGTTGGGTTGAAAGGGTTATGGGATTGGGTTGCCCAGATTTGGGCCCCTTTAACATCCGAATTGGGCCTATAATTTGGGACTTTAACTCTTTTAAATCTACCAATTAAGAAAACTTAAACATTTTCTTTACAAACGGATTTAAAATTAATTATGATTAATAAAAGTAAAATATATCATACTATGAAACTATATTTTATATATTATTTTTTATATAAATTATTATATTCAAAATAAAAGTGAAAATCATGGTAAAAATAAAAATATATGGCCATAAAAATATTAATAACCTAAACTAAATAGAATAAAATAAAACATGAAACTATTTTTACATTTTTCAATTTTCTTGTGCTTTAAAAATAGAATTAAATTTAATAATTAAGTAAAATCCTATAGAAATAAGTTCAAATAAATATCCTAAAAATACTAGGACTATTATAGGTGATTCTAATGTGTGGGTCAAAAATTACATGTCTACTGGAGTTATAAATCACAAGCCGGTTTATTAGAGTCTCGTTAATCGGTACGGAGATGTCTGTACTTATCTACGAGAGGCTATGTAACTGTTAGGAAAATTCCACTTCATTTGATTTCCCTGTCGTGCGAGATCTTGACATCACAATTCTAAACTTATGTCTTCTATTCTCTCATAGATGGTGAGGACATGCGCTACACGAGATGATCAGGCACCCGCGCCCCCTACTGCAGTCTTCAGAGGCCAGGGTCGGGGTAAAGGCCGAGGACGCGCACGTGGTGCAGCCAGAGAACCTACGCGAGCTGCCACCAAGGTGCCGCCAACAGTTCCAACCGAAGTCCAGGCACCTGATACGCCTACTGCTACTATTACTCCAACACTTCAGGAGACTCTAGCACAGTTCATGAGCATGTACACCACTTTGGCTCAGGCATGGTTGCTTCCCCTTGGTGTAGCTATATCTTAGTCCGGGGGAGGAGCACAGACTCCCGCCGCCCGCACTCCTGAGCAGCGAGTGCATGTTGAGCAGTTCCCTAAGATTATTCCTGTACAGCCTGCAGTCCGAGATTAGCCCGAGGACAGGGCAGCGGCTTCCGAGGATGAGCAGATGAGGCTTAAGAGGTTCAAGAAGTACAAGCCTCATGTATTCAGTGGTCTAGCATCGGATGATGCTCTAGGATTTCTAGATGAGAGTTACTGTATTCTCCGTACCATGGGTATATCGGGATCGAGTGGGGTCTCCTTCACTACTTTCCAGCTTCGAGGAACTGCCTATGAGTGGTGGCACACCTATGGGTTAGACAGTTCAAATGAAGCTGCTTCATTGACTTGGACTAAGTTTTCAGATCTGTTCCTGACATAATAATTCCTAAAAATAACACCTAGTTAAAGAAAAGACCTAATTTTGGGAATTCTTTTGGAGTAATTCGTATGAGGCAAAAATCACGTGCTCCCAGGTGGTCCTTTAGTTAAAGTGCTTCGTTTGGTGGATGGGGAGCTAAGGCCACCAATGGGCTACTTGTACGAAGCAATTGATAGGACAAAGGAGGCTATTCAAGCCTCTTTTAGTGATCAAAAAAAATACAAAAGAGTCTTTGAGATCATAGATAAAAGGTGGGATAGTAAGCTTCATAGCCCTTTGCATGCTGGACTTGTTTTGAACCCGGAACTGTTTTATGACAATGAAGAGAGGATTCTAGGAGATGAACCTTTGTGGAATGGATACTATGAATGCATTGAGAAGTTGATACCTGAAGAATCCGTGCAAGATAAAATCACAGAGCAATTTAGTATTTATAGGAATGCCGAAAACCTTTTTGGAAAAAACATGGCCATTAGACAAAGAAAGACAAAGTCACCAGGTGAGCGAGTGCTTATATGTTGTTTTATAGTTAATAAGTTATTTCTTTATTAATATTATGTTTTGAAAATTTGTTCTACTTCTACAGTTGAATGGTGGAAGCAATTTGGTCATTCCACTCCAGATTTACAAAAGTTTGCCATCAAGGATCTAAGTCTAACATGTAGCTCATCCGGGTGTGAAAAGAATTGGAGCGTGTTTGAGCATGTAAGAACTAATAAGAAAGATTTAGTATATTGAGATAATTAAATTATATCTCAATTTTACTAATCTTACTAATTACTTATTACTTGCAGATTCATACCAAAAAGAAGAACAAACTAACCTTGAAGCGTCTCAATGATCTAGTCTTCATTAAGTACAATAGAACATTGAGGCGTCGTTACAACGCTCGCAATGTAATTGATCCAATTAGTTTGGACAACATCGATGATGCTAATGAATGGCTAACTGGAGTCTCGGAAGATCATGCAGATGAAGAAGTATTTAAGGATACTTCTGATATCATTTGGGGTGATGTTGCGGAGGCGCGTGGAATGGGGGAGAGGATTTATGGTTTGAGGGGGAGTACCTCAACTTCAAGTTCACAGAGGAAGGGAAAACAGGCAACTACTTTGTCCCTAATTGATGAAGAAGATGAAGTTGAAGAATATGACGAGCAATATAATAATGATAGTGGAATACAAGAATTTGACAATCTTGTAGAAGAATAGGATGCTCATTTGGTGCTTTAATTGGTGCTACTCTTGACAATCTTGTAGAAGAATATGATGCTCATTTTGTGCTTTAATTGATGCTACTCTTTAGTTTTTTAATTCAAGTATTGAACATTTGCTTACAATTACATGTGTTGTCTATGCCGTATTTATTTTAATTTTTTTTTTTAAAATTCCGCTTCACTTCAAAAAAGCGTGCGCTTCGCTTCTCGCTTCTCGCTTTTCGTGAAATGGGGGTTGTCACTTTTCCTCGCTTCACGCTATTTTTAACACTGCCAGACAGTGTTTGTATTTTACAAACTCGTTTTTTAATAAAATAGGGCTTGGGTTAATTTTAAACACAGAAGCGTACGCTTCTCTCGCTTCATCGCTTCTTGCTTTTTACAGAGAAGCGGTCGCTTTTTCGTACCAATGTCGCTTCAAAGAGCAGAAGCGCTGCCCTTCCCGCCTCGCTTCGCTTCTCGCTTAAAGTGATGAAGCGAGTGCTTTTTTAATCACTGCTCAAATCCAATAAAATATGCATCAATTAATATGGGTATCATGGTAAATTATGCCCTTCATTTATTATTTCTTAAGGGGTGTGAAAAGTCAAAACGTGCCAAGTAAAAGTGAACGGAAGGAGTATTTTGGACTGCGAATAGGGAGATTGTTTGTAGGTGGTGGGAGGTTGATTGGGACTTTATTGTCTTTGGCATTCTACAATAAATTGGTTTACCAACCATTCAAAGAACGTGCATATCATTTTTCGTTCAGAACACTTTTTTGGCTGGATTAAAGAATATATTGGGGAATCATGGTAGCCTCAAACCTGTTGGTTGGCTACCTGATAATCCACCTTGTTGTTGGGGGTTTGATTCCCCACCTTGTAACCTCCTTCCCCTCCGCTTATGTATGATAAAACAATTTTTTCTTTAAAAAGAATACATCAACTTGCAAAATTGAAGTACTAGGAATATTTTCTGCTTCAAAATTATACATGCTTAGTCTTAAAGATTCCGGGGGGGGGGGAAGGGTGCAGCTTAGGCATGGTATTATCGTGAATATTTTAAAACTTCAGAAGGACTATGAAGAAGTTGAAAATTTAGTGGGTAGGTTATGATACTTCATTAGCATGGAGATGCATATTTCAAAATTTGGATTTTTATCTGATGGTGGTTAACAACTCTGATTTGTACATAGGTGGAAAGGTGTGAACCGCTGGTGCAAACCCTTGGATTGGGTTAAAATTGAAAAGAAGCGTCAAGATAAGGTAAGATTCAGTAGGACATTAACATTTTTGCTTTTGGCTTGGGCTAACTGCTAAGACTTAAGAGCATGGTAAGAGTCTAGTATTATGACCTCCATCTTTTCAAATATAAACTTGTTGAGTGCTAAAAATCATATCCAGGAAAGAATGCTGGATGAGCACAAGAAGTTGGTTGAAGGAATATTAAAGTGCGACAAGAAGAGGCGAAAGAGGATTGAAGCAGCAGGAATTGACTATGAGTGCCCAGAAATTGTAAGAACATATAAGCTTCTTCCTATATTCTCAGTCTTACTTTCTGATGCTGCAATTACAGCCAGCTTGTTACTACTTGGAGTACGGAAACCCTTTTTATGTTTTGGTTAATCTAGTAGTTAACTAGATTTTGCACATATGATATTTTCTTTATAGCAACTTTTCCATGCTCGGCTAGTATCATACTGTTGAGCAGGCATTTGTTTTGTTGCGGCAAGAATGCTAATCACTTGGCTAAACACTCGAAAGAACTGGAATTAGGAAAGTGACCAATGCTTTCCACGAGGATAATGCAAGAGTTTTATAGGTTAGCTGAAACCATTGCACAGTCCATTAGGAAGTTAAATGCAAAGGGGTTATGGTATTTGCAAAGGAGCCACCAAAATTTACGAATTTAGAGAATCAGCAATCTATCACATATGTATGAGGTTTTCTGTATATTTTTTATTGTGCATGACTATTTGTTCTTTATGCTACATATTAAAAAGTACTCACTTTAATTGATTATTTGGTTGTTTTCACACATATTAAGGAGTCCACTTTACTATCTTTTTAATTTGTTTGTTGAAAATATAACAGATATTCCGAGACTCTTTACTCCAAGGACAACTTTGGAAAAAAGAAGTTAATTCCTTCTTGATATCTACATAAATCGAATATTGCATACCACAAAAAGAAGGCCCAAAAAATCAATTAAAGTAGATCGGAGAGAGTATAATCTGTTATGTTATGATGCACCCTCCAAAGAGTTAGACTTGATTAGATTAATCTTAGAAAATCATAAGTTAGAATTAATCTTGGCAATGTTATTTGCAGGTGGGTTCAATTCAGGCTGCATCGAAGAAGATCAGATTTGATGCAGAATAGATCTATCCAGCAGAACCAATGCAGCAAGTAGATCAGTATATGCGAGGCAGTTTGCATCACGATTCACGGTCATGTAAGCTGTAAGGTCACGTGCCGTTGAACCATGCTGGCTGATGGAAAGCCATCAATCCAAGTGTCTATTGGTTATAGCTTCTTTGTAACCACAGCTCAAACTATGAAGAATTCTGGAAATCCTAAGGGTGATAAGATGAATTTTTCTAGCTATCTAGTACCTTAATGCAAAGTGTTTAGGCTATGATGTGCCAGATTTGCAAGTTCTTTTGGTTATTTTGTTCTTTTCCCTGCTGAATGTACAGTTAATGATTTCCATAATTATCTAAAGACTATGAATCTACAGGTTTAATTAGTTCCCGTTGAACATCTTGGGGAAAAAATAGTTTTTGGGACCTCAATTTTTTGTGTGCTTGCAAACTGGTTGGTCTCTGGATGAGCGAACCAGCCCTGTTTGAAATGAATGAAAATCTACCCGTTAAGCAATTTGGGCTTATTGACAAATGGTACTGTATAGTTTGTAATTTTTATTGATGTAACATTACAATGGGAATCTTCATGAAAATATAATATGTTATTTTGCCAATGTTCAAGCTGGGTAGTTTAGCCTTCTGTTAAATTATAGGAGTATAGAATATTTTACTTAAAACTCTCACCAAAAAGGTGGCTTAAAACAAAAGGATAATTAGTAACAATACCGTAATTTATTGGTCGTTCTTTGAATACTTCGCAGACATTTATTAGTTTTTTTTATGAATAAGTTTCAGTTAAAGCAAAAAAACAACAGATTGGGAAAACGACCCAAACAGACAAAAAAAAAACAAAGAAACATACAGTCATTAACGTTCTCTTTTCTCTTTTTCCAAAATTAAGGTTATCTGTGTGGGTGCAATTAAAGTAGCAGCCAGCAGCAGGGACCATATTTAGGACTCAATTAATGAATGCTTTAAAGAACCCTGTCTCTATGTCAAGGATAAAGAGTAATAATAATGGAAGATCACAAAGATGATTTGATTCCCTAAAGTGCCATCACTAACATGGCCTTAGGCTTTGTGTTACTTAGCTGTTTTGATAAATAAATCAACCTCTTCGCAGCCCATAAACGTTTGGTAATATTTGGTTGAATTAAAAAAAAAACATTTAAGTTGAATTTGAGAAACAATATTTACAAGTTGAATTGTTTTGACATGAGTTTCCCTTAAAGAAAATTGGATCCTGCAAGTGAAAGTTGATTGTTTCACTTAGAAATGTTTCTCAAACGAGTTTTTCAATATTTTGCTAGTATTTCAAACACTGAAAATTTAATATTTGCAAATATAGATACCAAACTTCAACTTGTAAATAATAAATCTCCCTATTCTCAGCACTATTCAAAATGATGTATTAATTATCATTCATAATGAGAACTTTTTCACGCAATCAAAATTTTTCACATGTTTTTGTGGTTTCGATATACTGTTTTATTATTTTGTTCGTGTGAATATTTCATCATTAGTTTATGTTATAACTGCTAGCTCAAATAGTTAAAACACCTATTCTATTAGAATCACGATATAATATATAATGAATAATCACATCTTGACCCTCTATTTTTTTGTCAACATGCCAATAAAATATCCATACTTTCAAAAGTAATTTTCATGCTTCAATTGTATTCAACGTGCCAATAAGCATAGTTAAAATTTTATATCACATATGCTTCAATTGTATTCAATCTTACCTTCTTTTTTCCTTCTTTTAACTGTTATTGATATTTATTATTTATTAGTTTAGGTTACATATATTAAAACAATAAACATAACTTTTTTGAAAATGTTGATCTATATATCTATCTATATATAAAAACAAAGACATACATGTAATCATAATAGTCATGTATCACCAAAAATAAAACGATAATAGTCCTGCATATAAGTTAGTATACCAAAGAAAAAAATGCAAACAAAATAATAACACAAATAATTTTTAGTTTGTGTAGTGCTCTTGAGAATGAACAATGCCAAAATAAGAGTTCTTGTACATTCATAATATATTTGGTCAATCCTTAAACAGATGATTTGGTAAACTCCTTTATATATTTTGGTTCTCCATCCTACTTGTTTATTTTTTAACTATTATTTCGTATTTCTGAAATACTTGTATACATCGTATTTATGAAAATCTCAGATTCCTGTTCAGTTACATTTGTGACAAAAGACAAATGTAATGTTAACTATAAATAATAAAATAATAATAATAATAAGTTTAATCAATTATGAATATATACCTTGATAACCTAGTAAAACTTCTTTTTGTATTTCAAGTTCTCTATCACACTTGTTCATTTTGTATTTGTGAAATACTTCTATACTTCATATGGATCTTCAGCTTCCTTAGTTACATCTACAACAAAAAAAATGTAATGTTAATTGTAGCGCACAACAAAATAATAATAGTAAAACCAAAAAATTGTGGGAAAAAAAAGTGACGACTTTAAATTAAAATTAATATAAGTAAAATAAGATTAAAGGAATCCTTCTAAATTTTTATTTATTAGTGTAACTTATGAGTAAGTACCATATGCTAGATTAAGAAAACATTATTGAACTATATATATATATATGTTAAGTATACCTTCTTGCTTCACGATCTCAAACCTTAGCATCGTATTCATTGCTTGGAGAACACTTTGGTAAGTTATACTGATCACAACTCATGAGGACGAGGTTTTTTTTCGAAGAGCTGAAAAGTGAAATTCAAAAGAAGAAAGATATAAAATTTTATTTCTTGTTGATAGTGAAATTTGTAGGAGACCAACAACTTATTCTAATAGATAGAACAAACGATACACCAAAACAAAATAACGGAGTTGTCTCAAACCATCCCTTCACAGTGGCATGCCATATAAGCTCATTGCAAACTACATGGCTTGACAAACAAATATTACTTGTGCTATTTGCTAGTACAAAACTATAAAACATAGAATTTATTAGCATAGAATTTATTAGTCTAACCAAAAAAGCTTTGAAGAGATCGTAATTTTATTAACATAAATAATTTAGAGTAGAAAAAAAAAGAAGAAAAAAAATTGAGAGATTAACTTAAAGGTCCGTATAGTATTGCAGGGTTAGAATCTGAATGTACGTAGGCTTATGTTGAGTGAATCTTAATCACCATATTATTTTACCATATATGTCGTTTGATTGTCAATCAATTATTCACTTCCATGTTAAGAAATAATTCTTTTAAAAGATTATCTCATTGTATTTGAATTACCCTATAATTACGGTATTGCTAATGTATAAAGGCCTACTAAATGCTAATTACAAATAAGTATGATTAACTTTAAATTCAAAATATGAACTTTATTTTTAGTTAATAATTTAATATATCAATATAATAAAAGTCACGAATATTGTTGGCATATAATATTTATCCCTTATATGGTAATATTTAAATTGTAAATATCATAATTTCTCATAAGGAATAATATTATATGAATATTCTTTGTCTATAATATTAGTCCTTTATGACTACGTAATTACACACACTTTTAGTTTATGTATAAATTTTGCATGATAATTATGTTCCCATTCGAATTCAAATTAAATGGGATATTTGGTTAAGAAACGGTCAAAAAAGATATTATTGTGTTTGAATTGCCCTATAATTAAGGCATTGTTAAAATTTAAAAGCCTGTTAGCAGCTAAATATGGATAAATACAATTAGCTTTTCAATTACCCTGTAATTATGGTATTGGTAAGGTTCATTTTTTGTTAAGAAATCAATATATCAATTAAAGAATTTGATAAAAATTATCAATATTATTTATCATAAATATCGATAATCATTCCCTTTGAATGTGGGATTTTGTTTATTTCTCCAATCAAATCCACCACCCAAATAGTGAGTACGTATTAACTTTAAATAATGGTAATTAATATCTTTTTAAAACTAATACATATTAACTTTACATAATGTTAAGCCAAGTGACGTTTTTAAATATTTTTTGTATTTTATGTAAAGAAATGTGTTACTTGAATTATTTTTTCAATTTTCAAAGTCATCAATCCTTAATATCTTAAATAAATTTATTTACTTTATTTATATTTATTTACGTTATCAATATTAAAAATTACTAACTATGTCATGTGGTGATTTGTCTCGTTTAAACATATTAAATTATATTATTTTAATAAAATTCTCAGTATTAGTTTTTTTTTTTTTGTCTAAAGCTTAAATAAGTCTTATTCTTTTAAATTTTACACAATTTCTTTTGTTCTTTGCTTATAATTATTAAATTATTTATTATTTAATATTATTATACTTTTATGTGAGTTTTTCAGCTTACTAATTGACTCAATATTTTGCTTATTATCCTTTTAATAATTATCGATAAATATTATTTTTTTATTCTTGAAATTTAATATATTTTATGCTTTTATCCTCTTACTCGAAACTATTTTATTATTTAAATCTATAAATAATATTTGAATATTATTCAATTATTTAATTTATTTTATTTTAAATTAATTTAACATATTCTCACGTTATATCTATTTTTTTTCTTTATACAGTCTCTTCCCTACTAAGAAATGTTTAATTAATATTTTACCTATAATCAAAATAATATCATATTTGACTTTAAGTTGTAACTTTGATTAGAATAAAATATTAATATATAAGTTCCTTGATTATTATATTACAAATCTATTAAGTTTTTTATATTTATTTTTTGTATTACATGCAATACAAAAAATCNTTATATCTATTTTATTTTCTTTATACAGTCTCTTCCCTACTAAGAAATGTTTAATTAATATTTTACCTATAATCAAAATAATATCATATTTGACTTTAAGTTGTAACTTTTATTAGAATAAAATATTAATATATAAGTTCCTTGATTATTATATTCCAAATCTATTAAGTTGTTTTATATTTATTTTTTGTATTACATGCAATAAAAAATCTCTTTTAGTTTCAAGATACAAAATTTGACTTTTAATTTTAGTTAATAAAATTACTTATATTAGATATTTATTTTATAATTTTTAAATTTTAATTCTTATCTAGTAAGACTTTAATTTTTGGTGGTCATATCCATAGTTTGAGCATTCTCATCATAAATTTAAGAACTTTCTAATATTAAGCAAAATAGTCTTTTCCTTTCATTTCTAATATTTAATTTTAATTATTATTTTTACTTTTGCTATTATGTTATCAAATATATGGTATTATCACAGTTTCATATGGCTTTTAATTAATTTGCCACTTTATTTAGTATTATTATCCATTACTATCCTTTAATATAATATAGATAAATTTAGAAATATTTTAATCTTAAAATAAATATCTATTTTATTTTAAAAATATTGCTTGAATTCTTAAGTTTTTTAAATTTATCAATAGTATTTTTAAGTATTT